GGGGGTGTACTCATAGTCGTGCATGCCGTAGTCCTTTGACCATTGACCTCGCATCCCAACAAAGTCGGGACGGAGCACGCCGGGTTCTCACCGGACCAGGCTCTCACATCACCAAGCGCGAAGCGCCGTGAGGTATTTGGCGAGTCGCATGAAGGGTGAGCTGCATCCTGCTAAGGGTGTTCGGCATCTTGTGCTTACTTCCTTGCGTACGGATGACAGCTACGTATGACTTAATTTATTTTCTGGTGCTTTCACTTCCAGAGACAGTTGTAAGCACTGTGTAACTGCCTCGAGGAAGCTTGACCATTTTAACACAACGTGGTGCGATCATCCCCCGTTGCACGGAGTGAGGTTTCTCGACCCCGCACAACATGATCTACTCGACCACCATTATGGTTACCGCCAAAAAAAAAAACGAGGTAAAAAAAAACCCGGTAACCTGGTGGCCGAGTTCACGAAGTGAATTGGCTTGTTTTACAACGTCGTTGCCAAGCGACGAAAACCCAATCCCGATGGCAAACACCGAGGGGGGGGCTTGTTTTACAACGTCGTTTCCAAGCGACGAAAACCCAAACCCCGATGGCAAACACCGGGGGGGGGGGGGCAGAGGGGGGGGGGGGGGGGGGGGGGGTACCCATCGCCGTGCGTGCCGTGGTCGTTAGACCATTGACCTCGCATCCCTACAAAGCCGGGACCGAGCACGCCGGATTTTCACCGGACCAGGCTAGCGCATCACCAGGGGGCGGGTGGAGGGGGAGCGACATTTCGAAGCTGGGTCAAGAATGGTTTGAGATTGGGTGCGCTTTTTTTTCGGACGTGTTCGTCGTTTACGGGTGGATGTGTCGCACGTGTTGCGGCGATGTCACCTCGCCTCTCGCCGCTGGATGGTGCTGACCCCTCGCTGTCCTGCTCCCGTGTGCCCCGCTTTCATCCATCCCCCCGCCCGGACGATCGGCTAGGGTTGAATAAAAAATTGCAGGCGGAGATGTCCGCGAAAGCAAGCGCTACCCCTGAGAACACCGACCACCGCGGCAAGAAGATCTACGACCTCGAGAGCAAGGAGGCGCGCGAAATCATGGCGAAGCAAAAGGTCCAGGGGTACACGCCCGACTTCGGATACGTGGAGAGGGCCAACTACCTCGACCTCTACATCCCTGTCCCCGCGGTGAGTCTTTGTACCCGAGATGGTGGATTGTTGTTGTTTGTGTGATTGTGTGCGTGAAAACAATTTTTAAGGCGCAAAAATAGCCACATCTCGGTGTTCCCGCCGCATGAATATTCTGTGAGGCGCATCTTGACCCGGTTCATTGCCTTAGACACGTGCGTTGTGTTGCAATTTTGTTTTTCTATTCTAGACCGAATAGTAAGTACCCTGATTCTTTCTCTCTCTGCCCCCCCCTTCTTCCATGCCCACAACCCTCCCTCGTGCTTCCTTCTCTCCCTTGTACCCCCGTGTTGGCATCCGGGGGGGGAAACAGGGCACCCGAGCAAAGGACGTAACGGTCGAGATCCACCCCGACCGCATGCTCGTCGTGGTGAAGGGGACCGGGGTCGTGACCCAGGGGCACTTTCAGGGGAAAGTGGCCCTCGACGGCTGCCACTGGCTCATGTCCGATCTCTCCCTGGACCCTCCCGGCTCGACGGCGCTCGGCACGCAGGACGACGAGGTTCGCCAGGGGCCCGTGTACCGAGGAGAGACGTGCGTGCAGGTGTTCCTAGAGAAGAGGAAGCCGTTCGACACGCTGTGGGAGAACGTCTACCGACCACGGGAAGATGGCGATTGATGGTGCTGCTGGTGGTAGTGATCGAAACGGTGCTCCGGCGGCGGCGGTGGATGACACGTGTAGGGCGACTATTAAATCTTAACGTTCTGGTGCAATGGGCGCTGTATTTTTCGCACGAGTGCAATTACGATTGACTGGTCCGTGAGTGAGTTGGTTGACACCCACCTCGTAGTTTGAACTCCGTGTTGACATGTCCAGTGAAGGTCGATAAAATGTGTTGTTCGGGTTGTTGCCTATGCACGATGCTCGTCAAGAGCTTCTGTGCTGGTTCAGCGATGAGGTGTGTTCGTACGCACCTCCGGAACCCTTGACTGATGTCCCAGAAGAACGGGTCGACAGGTGAACATGATAATAGGTACGTGCCGTCGGGGGATTTTTCTTTCATCCCAGAGACGCACACGCGTAGACGGTGCTGTATCGTACCCGTTTTTTGTCCACCTTATTGATTCAGAGGGTACGGCTTTATTTTCTTGGCCGCTCCAGCAGTTAAAACGGTACTTATCTGAGAGTTGGTACCAGCGTCCGATAGTTTTCTGACGATCTCGAATTTGAATTTTGATTACACCCTCGCATGGGCCTGCCAACTATGTACACTGCCAGCTATCCGACCCCCGTGCTGAAATGCAACAAAACATTCGTCCCGTCTTGTGTGTACGCACACCCGAACCACCGATCCGTGCGACGCTGAGATAAGTAGCAGTGGCCGCTGCTGTACAATTTCTGGGGTACGTAGAGTTGATGAAGTGGAGGGCGATGAAGAGTGTTACAGTAGTCTATGGCTCTCTGTGGGTATCCATAATGTATTGTCGCGCGTCGTGCGTTGTGCGCCTCACGCGAAAAGCGGTGGAACTTAAGTCGTTTCGGTGAAAATTGGAACCCGTTTGGTTCCACTCCAGGTGTCAAGATACGATCTTGTATCCGCATCCGTTCTTTATCATTCCGTCGCTGTGTCATGGGCTCCCCACTTTCCTTGGGAGCAATCAGATCTCTCTCGTGTTGCACCTGTGCTGTAATTCACCCCACTCTCTCTGTTGAGTGGTGTGTGGCCCAAGCAAAGGCTGTAGGAGCAACAACTACAATTAGCAGTCATGCCGCTCACTCGGATACGGCGAGCGGTCGGTGTCGTAAGTCTCCTCTCTGCTGAGGTCGCTCATCAACCAGCATTTGGTGCCGACGCAGCGTCGGGAACGGAGTCGTGCAGATGTGCAGTGTTGTACTCGGGGCACGTACGAAGCTTCGTACAGCCGCGGGTCCACCTTTCTCACAAGAAGAATCTGATCGAGCAACTGGAGATCGACTGCCATGTGGATGTCTTCATGCACATATCAGGTAAACTACACGGAACAATCAAAGCCACGTTAAGCCATGTTAGACTACATGATGAGAAAATTGTGGTGCCGTGGCAGACACATATGCACGAAGAATGGATGTTTTACAACTGTCTTATTTTCTAGACCCTGGCGTGAGCGACAAACAAATTTAACCCTCGGGCCGGGTAAGTGGATATTACCCGCTTTTGTATCCTTAGCGAGGAAGCCTTCTGGTGTTTTTCGTCCTCGAAACATGTTCTCGTGAGAGGCACAGATCTCTGACATGTTGTCCCTCGCCGTTGCCCGACCGGGTGAACATACTCCGCGAGCTACAGTCGAAGATGAGGTTCCGCGCCGGTATCGCAAAGGCGACTTCGAAGATGCCCTGGCCTTCACCCCTCATACTCCCCAAGAAACCGAAGTCGAGCATGCGGTCGGGCTACTCAACCCACTCTCGATCGAATACCACCAGGTGCGATACTGTACTGTACGAAGCAAGTCAGCCAGGTGTGATTCGGAACCAAGATTGGGCTCTACAGCAGTTGTAGCTAACTTTGTTTTTCTCGTCAACTATCATCATCCAGCCAGGAAATACGATGTTTGTGAGAGAGTAGATGGGTGGGAGACGATGCTATCACGAGCCACAAGCCATCATCTACGAGGGTGGGAAGTGCTATCGCCCGATGAGACTGTCAATAAACAACGTATTTGTTCACGTAGGAGCAAATGCACGTATGAGCTCCTCTAGCCTGGCGGGTACACATGGATTGATGCCAGCATGTTTGTCATTATCACACGCGCTGATGATGCTCGTTGTTTTATGGTCTTTTGCCGCATCAAATTCCCGACGATGCATCACATGCTTCGGACTACATAGGAGCAAGCAGGCTATATCCCCAACGGGTGCGAGACCGGCTGCGAGATAAACGCCTACTGGCAATTATACAAGATGAAGGCTGTGTTCCGCATGATGGAGGAGCACGAGGCCACTACTGGACTGTCGTGAGTGACATATGGCATGTTATACATGAAACAGACAACGTGCAGAACCATCTTCAGTCGTTCTGTGTCGTACTACCTGCGGCTACTCATGCTGCGCACTCCACTATTTTCCAGTGTTCCTCACGTTGAATACCGTGCGCACGATGGTCAGATATGTGCCACATGGAACATGTGACCTTTGCTGCACGACTCACTCCCGGGTGGAATTTCTGTATGGCTCCTGCATTTAGGTAGCTGCAGCTGACCGGAGTTGCGTGAAAAAGCGCGTGGCATGACGCTCTTCCGTGGCTTTTGCTGCGCAGACCGCACGCGGTGGGCGTGCAGTTGCGGTTGAAACCCGCAACAAATCCTCTGTTTACCACCGCCAACAACAGCCGTTGTCAGCACTCAAAATGTGTTCAGCGCATAGGAAATTTTACCGTGGTGTTGCATCATTTTTCTGGCTTTGGAATACATATAGTTCCGGCGCTCATCAACACACCATTGATCGGCCCAGCCGATAAACCTACAGCATCATACCCGTCGTTTCGAACCGATGCTCTCGAACAAGGTACACGTGGGTAATTCGCTCCAGGCTGGACATCGCGTGGATGCTCCCGGTGCCGCCGTTGAGTCGATTCCCGCCGACCCGCGTGTACGCGGGCCACAACTTCTTCCCCCTCTCTGATCAGTTCCTGCTCTCGCCTCGGATGTTCGCCCAGAGCATATTCGGGGCGGTCAGCCTGTGCTACGATTGCAAGGCCCTGGAGGCCCATCGTGAGTCCAAGGTGCCGGCGCAGGTGGAGGGTCTCCTGCGCGTGGCGCTGCGGCGAGGCCACGGCCACGGCGCCGTCCCGTTCGGTTACTACGAGTTCCCCGTGGCGATCGTGCGGAGCAACGAGGGCGGCGTCTGCGAGGTGTTGCACCCGCACAAGCTTGCGTGCGAGATGCTGCGGGCGTCCGGCTTGATGGGCCCCTTGACAGCGGCGACAGGCGGCGGGCAGCCATCATCCTGCTTGGACATGATGAACCGGTGGCACCGACACGCCTGCGTGGAAATGTTCCCGCCCCACGACTATCGTACGGAAGGCGGGTCGGAGGCAACCGCGGACGACAGTGGAGAGGGAAAAAATGCCAGATTGGTCGGCGGCGAGCCCGGAGGCGGGAGGGAGCTCCGTGATGGCGGGAGGGGTGGAAGGGAGGATGAGCAACGCCAGCCCGCTCCCACGGTTCACCGTAGCAGGGATGGAGGTGAAGCAGCATGGGCGGGTGCTGCCGATGGCACTGCTGCTGCCAAAACCCTGTCCTTCGAAGAGGCCACCCGGCGGGTCGAAGGGGTCAACGGCAACCTCAGCGATCTACTCGGAGCGATGAGGATACACGTCTCCCCTATGCAAGAACGACTGGAGTACTACGTGGCCCACCACTACCCTTTCCACCAGGTCAACCCCCTCCGCCGGCCCGACCGCGGACCTCTGGATCAAATCGCAGTCATCGAGGGCTACCGACTGTCTCAGGCAGACTTCAACCGGCTCGCCCTTTCTTTCTCGTGCTTCCTGTCGGATGCCGCCGCCACCGCCGACGGGAAGGAAGGCGGTTCGCCACGAGGACCTGGCGAGAGACGAGGCCATACTTTCGATCTTTTCGCCGACGAAGAGGGACAAAGGGAGGTCGCATCGTCATCGTCGCAGGTTTACGATGATGGTGAGGGAACGGGCGGTAGGGGCGGTGATGTCGAGGACATCGAGGAAAACGTCCTGGTGCTGAAAACAACGGCTGACGAAGAGGAAGGACTGCAAGCGGCCGTGAACTGCTCTTTGATAGAACCGCTCCATGACGTCTGGGTGTCGTTGCTGGACAATAAATTCGAGCCATCGGAGGAGATTTGTCGCGGACCCGCCGGGCCTTGCTTGCACACGGCAACGCCGAAAGAAGCCAGCTAGTGTAGACTTTGTACCCTTCTCTCTGATCAGCACGTGTAACAGGTGTTGCCCTTCTAGTTTTGATCTTGCAATCCGAAGCACGTGTAAATATCCAGAAAAAAAGTGCTGTATAGCGTCAGTGTGGGTATCATAGCTCTCTCTTGTGTGTTCCCCCCGGAGGACGAGAATAAGGAACGGCGGGGAGGAACCGGCTGTGAAAACGCTCCCCGTTTTCTTCGAGGTTTCTTTTCAAGCGAAGCCGCTTGTGTTGGACTGGTGGCACAAACAATTCAAAGATGTCATTGTTCGATGGCAACTTCGAATCCTACACCCAACCCACGACGTAGACAGCAGCACTCCGTCAGCGCTGACCGAGAACACGTATACATAGTTGGTCAGCCCCCTGTCTAGTAACGAGAGAGTGGATATCCAGACCCGTGCGTCACCCGCACGCAATAAGACGTAGAGGAATTTTTTCACGTCGGATAACTCCTTCATCCACACATCTGTTGAATACACCGGCGCGCGCCCGAGCGGCCATTCCAGTCAAAACGCTGTATGCATTACATTCAACCTTACACCTCTTATTTTTCTCTGTAAACAACGCGAGAGGCGGCAGGCACACAAAAGCTTGGGGTGCGTTGAATACGCGCCACCTCTTCTCCCACACCATGGTAGCCTAAAAGCATGCCCGGGTACGCTCCTACTGGTCCAAACCGCTGGCAAACCAAACGTCGGGGAGGCTCTTATTTCCTGCACTGCCCAATTAACGAAACAACAACTAGTTTGAAGGGAAAACACCCAGCTCACACACAGACACGGATCAGAGTCCAGCACACATTTTACATGAGAGACCGGGTGCATACAAAAACATACTTAGAAATAAACGAAAAGAGTGAAGTGAAGGGTGGGGGGTCACACGCACAAGTTTCAAATCCCTTGCATCTATCGAGACTCTCGCTCACCGGCCGCCATCCACCCTTGTCTCTATTGTCATCTTTGACGCCCCCCCTCACACGCCCCGTTCACCGAGACAAAACGAAAGAGTGTCCTTCAAACCTCCCCGCTCCACCACCGGCGGCTCCCCCGAAAACAAGCCAGTCAAACCGGTGAGAGGAGGACAGCCACACAAAGCGAAAAAAAAAAACGCATATAAATATTAAAAAAAAATGACGTCGGTGACGTTTTGTGTCGCGGTCGAACACCACCACCAACAAACGGCCATCGAGCAAAACCGCATCCATGCCAAGAAAGGCCTTCGTCGACCGTGTCGTGGTAAAACATCGCCGAAGTTGGCGCATGCTTCCGGTGCCTAGATCTGCTCAGCTCAGCCTTCTCGCGAAAAACCCAGGCGAAAACCAAGCTGTACACACCCCGTTCGAAACGCCTTCTGCGTCATCTCGTGGATCCTGTCCCCGGACTGACGTGGAGATACTCTACACGCCTTTCTCCCTTTACTTCTGGAGCAATCAAACGCGACCTCTTCGGACCCCCAGAAACACACAGTTGCAAAAGGCGTCGTAGTGTGATCTACTCATACGAAGTGCAGACGTCGCGTTCTATCTTCTGTGTTATCTGTCCAGTGGACAACTCGCCAAAACAAGTTTCGCAAAAGAAAAAATTGGATCGATCGGGACTCTAGGTACTATGTACCTTTCAGTCCTACACCAATCACTAATAGTCCTCCTTTACCTGTGCTCTCCACCACAAAAAAAAAACTTAAGGCATTATCTTCGCTTCGGAGGAGGCCGTGCAGAAGTACGTACTCGACGATGACCACGAAGGACCACTTCGTGGAACAGCAACACAAAATGAATAATAAATATCAGTGCAGGAGTACTGCGTTGGTCCGGGTTGATGTTATACACCTCTCTCCTCGTGTGTGCGTTTTCTGCACCCTTGTCCAAACGCGTGTAAATATCGTTCTAATACGTACGTCGACCTTTTTAACCTGACCCGGACCAACCGAAATTAAACACGAAGTGGTGCGCTCGACGTACAGGCAGTACCATTCTCTCACTCGAATTATCCTACATGGATCGATCGCAGCCGGAAGTATGTACCCCAACACTATCTGCGAGGTACTTAAAACTCGGGAAACGGCATTTGCTTCTTCACCCTCAACAACATTAAAGTACTCGGGAATCAGGTAGCGCTACCAACTTGTTCGCGCCATACCCCCAAGCCCACGGCATCGACGCATTTTCATCCCCGTGCCCTTGTCGTCCAAACATGGGCCCGCCGGGAATTTGCGCGCCACACTCACAAGAACACACGCCAGCCAAACGACCGACAGCAGCGTACAGTACCACACGCACACACCAGCTTTTGAAACCACCCCGCTCTTGGCAAAACTGTACACCCGTGGCCAACACTCCCATATTTCACCGCAAAACCAATCCCCCACCCCCCCCCCCCCCTCCCGCAAAATGGGAAGCGAGGCAAACTACTGCCACCTGCAATTTTCCAGCATCATAACCCCATAAGCACTTGGGTGGCGGTCTGCAAATATACTGCTAGCTGGGTACGCTGGCTCGTATCGATTTCCGAACGTCCACCATCGCGTATCGTCTATATACAAAACCAACACAAGACACAACAAACAAACCGAGACGCCTCGCCGCCACGAGAATGAGAGGCAAACCAAGACCTCCTTTTCTCGACGCCAGTTGCAACGTATTCCCTTACCACAGACAACGAATGACCTCTCCACCGTCGTAAAAAATGAATCAAGCGTGTGCCAACATCTGTTTTTTCGCCTTCGTCACGTCACGTTGTCCAGACACGTGGACGCACGGACGAGCACCGCTACAGTGCGCTCCATTTCCAGACGAAAAGGGGGGGCTGCGACGGATCCAACAGCGCTCTCCGTCGTACGGAGATGGGCTGCGACAACGCCTACGTCAGTTCCCGGCGATAAGCTGTTCGACGTCGCGTGTAACACATCGCCATTGCCGTTGGAGACATCGTGCAAGACCATGCCCTTGCAATGACATCTGCTTGGGGATCGTGCAAAAAAATCGTTCCCAGCGTCGAAAACCGAGCAGACAAAAGCTGTCGTGTCCTCCGGCATGAAGGGCTCGCTTCCTGTACACCGTAGCTGCAGCAGCTGCTGCTGCTAGATACCGCCTCGCCACCATCTCGCGGTCCCTTGCTGGCCTCGCGGTCCACCTCTCGTCCCGCGGGACAGGTGGGTGGATGCATCACCGTTGTTGCATGACAGGCAACCCGCGCCCCTCGTTGATGTACTCCACGTGTTCCTGGTTGCACCGAGAACGGGAAAGCGCAAGAGAGGGAACCCGCACGCGGCCAGGGGGGACACAGTAATGACCAAATAGGTTAGGTAGGTAGATAAATAGTGAAACAGAGAGTGAGCGTGATGGGGCAGAAAATGTAAGGGTGCCCGCCGGGCTACCCCTATTTGCACGACGCAAATAAGACGTGCACGCTTCGAAACGCCTCCGTGGATGGGTTGAAACCGGGTTATACACACACGTGACCGACCCAACCCAACCCACCCAACCCAACCTAACCCTAACCCTAACCCTCGCGGACGTCCAACCGGGGCCGTGGTGGCGAGACTGGCCACGAACGCGGCTGCGCCACGTTCGTGGTCCGCACGTCAAAACGTGGTCCGCACGCTACGCGCGCTGTTTTGACCAATCACAAGTCGAGTCGTGCACGGTCTTATTTGCACTCGCGTCGTGCAAATAGGGGATGCCGTGCCCGCCGCGCGTAAGAACCCCCCCCCCCCGATAAATTGTGGGCAACAGAAAAAGAGAGAGAGGACGCACTTGCGGTGGGCCGCCGATCGATCGATTGATTGGTGACAACAGCGCGGGCAGAGACAGGGAGCAAGACGAAACGGAGACGAAACGACTGCAAGAGGAGACGGCAACCTCGGCGTCGCCACCGGAGTATCTTCCTCCAAGCAGATACATAAGCACATCGGCTTTCGTCCCAAATCGGAGCACGCACAGCAAGGCCAATATTTTGGTTGAGGTGGGCCCGCAGAGGGCAGGCACAAAAACACAGCCGTGTACTATTCGGCAGCGCACATGTTACGTCTTGGTTGTGACGCTCTCAACTACCACCGCAGGCGACGGAAGCATACCCTACGCTCACTCGCAAGTAGCCGAACAGAGAACCAGCGAATGCAGAAACAGCAACAACACCATCAAGACTAAAAAAAATTATGCCAGCACCACCAACAATCCAACATGCGCAGAACTACACGTCACGCACACAAACGGCCACAACAACGCACACGAAAATCTTCTACCAACAAACACACATCCAGATCATGGCCTTTAGAAGCATTTTCTGTTTTCAGCCGCACCGAGACTGGTGCCTTTTCATTGGTCACCGGTCAGCGCGGTTTATGCTAATTAAGAAAAAAAAAAAGCATACACGGATCGTCTCATCTTCGGGCACATACACGCCTATCGTGCAGAATGTGCGCATACTGTACCTCTCCGTCTCGGTCCGAGGAAGAGGTGGCGGAGGACGAAGTCGCCCTAACCTCCCTCGCCTCTTCCTGGGAGTCGAAGAATATGGGGTGGATGAACTCTCCCGTCTCTTCGCAGAAGTACATGTCTTCCTCCTGAGGTGGTGTGGAGTTATGGATGGTTGACCATGTAAGCATGCATACCATGTGGCGACGGGGGTTCGAATTGGACTGGAACGAACCGGGTCGGTAGTGCGAGGATCGACATGAACCCGAGAGGGCCCAACGAGTTCCAACACAGCAAGTAGGAGTGAGTGCTGCACCAGAGGGAGGAGGAAAGGCGACAAAAAACAAAGGCAAAAAACGGCGAACCCACACCAACGGGCCACAGCCTTCATCGCCTCAACAACAACAACAGGGACGGCTACTACACCTTCAACAACAACAGCAACGGAGCGAAAAAAGTAGCAGCAAGAGCACATGGAACGGACCAAACCTGTCAAAGATTTTGCATGCAGCAGCGAAGGGAAAGGGCTCACAGGCGGGGCCCTTTCACGCCTATTCTCGCAAACCTTGCGCTTGTTCTCAGCACAAACAGAGTAGCAATACGTAAACCAAACAACCGAGGGAAAGGGCGGACCATCTGCAACAGCAGTATAATTTTCGTACCTCGGCAACATTCTCCCAGTTGTATTCCTCCGCATCGAACTCGATCATGTTGCGGTAGACCATCTCCCGTATCTCCCCCGCGCTGTTCCAGTAGCTCCGTCGCACGCGATCGCTTCACGCCCATCACAAGAACGCAAGTAACAGAAGGGCAAGACGAAGAGAAGAGGTTGGCGAGAAACAATTGCACATCTATGGTACGCCCAAAGACGAAAGCAACACGCCCGAAACGAAGGAGGAAGAAAGCAGCACACACCCGGGCGTTGCGGTGGGCGGCAAGCAGAGGGGGGAAACAAAGCGAACAGAAAAACACGCCGCACACCCACACATGCACCCACGCTAACACCGACACCAAACGACGAACCCTGGGGGCAACCTGGCTGCCAAGCACCAGGACGGCCACCCCTTCCCACGCGGCAGCCGGTCAAGCAACACAATCAAAAGCACGTACACAAAATGCTCTCGAACGACCCAAGCCTTCCCAAACACACCTAACCTTTACCCACAAGCCCGGCCGTACTGACGAAAGCAACACAAACACGCTTGTAACCCCTCAAACACAGCAGGTTGTAGCGGCCTCTCCTATTAACAGCGAAATTCGTCATGGAGTAAAATAGCAACTTCGAAGGGAAAAATCGATCGCATCATGAACACACACCCCATAAACCCTCACCTGTACTCCGAGTGCACGGGGACGTACACCGCCGACACTACCGGGGCAAAGTCGACGTGCTTGTGGCGACAAGGCGCAAACTCCACCACCGAACCCTCGCCCTCCCCCCCCCCCGACCCCTGCACCCCGCGTCGCCCCTTCCCTCCTCGGCAATCCTGGGCGCCGCCGTGCCAACCCACCGTCGGCGAGGAGTTGGCGCTGCTGCCGCTGCTGTTGCCAGCTCTCAACCGCTCGCACGTCCGACACGGGCGGGGCTCGCGTTCCTTCTTGGTGCTGTTCCCGCCGGTCAGGATGCTCCCGACGACCTGATTGGCCAGCGGCGAGGCAAAAAAAAAACACATTTAAAAAAAATGGAAATACGTGCGTAGGACGAGCGGCTTGGTGACGCCACAATTACGAGGAGGAACGGCTTTTGAGCTAAAGGTGGGATCGCCCTTTCTAGACAGGGTGCCCGTTCGGGAGCCTGGATGAACGTGTGCGGTCGGTGATGAGCAGGGAGAGAGGCGAGACGACGTGGGCCTGGGGTTGTGTCCACGGTCACGTAGCCTCAGCTCTTGCCGACCGCAAACAGTTGGGATAGCGGTTTCCCGTCAGCGGGCTGGGGTACCAGCCTGTCTGCATGCCTTCATGGTCGCACTAGCAAAGCAGGGAAAGCGCGGGGCACGATGTACGCGCGCGTCGTGCGGCGGCGTGCTGGTAACCGCCCTCCCTCTCTCCATCTCTCCCTCTCCATCTCTCTCTCTCTCTCAGCGTTCCTCATTCTTTCTCTGCCTCCGCTCACCCTGAGAACGCCTTCCAAGGTAATCTCGCCCGCGTTGGGGTCCTTGAGCTGCTCCTCCACAGGGTTCTCCACGCTCTGCCGAACCGAAACCATCAGCAACATTGTGGCGAACACGGCCAAATCGTTCAAGGCTTGGTTGTTCAGAACGTTGAAATACTTTCCGACGTGGGCCAAAACAGAACAGCAGCAAACACTGCCGAATTCATGAGTATTGCGCCGTGCTCGTCGAAACAGCATCACCGCACAAGCTGTCGGAAAAGATCGAACGCTGTATCTAGCGTGTGTCGGCACAAACAAATGGCGACAACAAAAATGGCGTCGACAGGCCACAACACGTAGACCGGAGTTTCAAAAAAATAAAAAACACACACAAACAGGAGTTACACCCCAATGCGTCGCGGCGCTTGCGTTAATGTCCGAGGTAAATAGAGCCGAGCGCAAGCACTCGACGCAACTCATAAACCCGCAGGGGTGCACACGGTCTTGGGGGACTACTCGAGGGCTGGGACCCCCATAATTACTGACTGTAGATGTGGAGACATGTTGACGCCTCGTAACCCAGAAAACGCGGTCAAGTTACACGGGCACCATTGAGCAACACCAAAGCCCCTTTCCTCTCCCCTGGAAGATGGGGGCTCCGTCACCTAAAGGGTAAATAGTCAGTCAACAAAGTCCACGGCAAGCAACAGACGAACTCCTTGCACTCCCCTCACCCCCCTCCCCTCCCCTCCCCCTCCTCTCCCACCGCCAGGCTCTAACCTCTATGAACGACGACCTCCGGATCATCGGCGGGGGCGTTCGCGCGTCGCCCGGCCCCGCCACGACCGCCCTCTTCATCCCGAGGTTGGTGAGGTAGTCCCTGCGGATGTCTCTCCTCGGGGGTCGCACGGCTCGAAGGGGCGGCGACCCGACCTTGAGTGGGTCCGCTACGGTGCGCGCGGACCTCAGCCGGTGGGAGGAGGGTGAGGAGGAGGAGGAGGTCGGTTGTGCTGCTGCCGGGGCCCCTGGGAGAGGGGGGATGATGGCTGCAGCAGGCGTTGATGCTGCTGGAACGGGAGCGGCGGCAGAGGAGGGCGAAATTTGCTCGTTCCTCCGTTGTGTTGCTGCGGGGACGGCGGCTGTGGTGCTGCTGTCGTCGGCGCTGCTGTCGGTGGCGCCGAGCGAGTCCGCGGTTCCGGCTGCGCTGGCTGGAGGAGCCGCTGTAGCTGCACCGGCCGAGGGTTGTGACCGTGCCGGAGCTGTTACCGCTACCGCCACCGCCGCTGCCGCCACAACCGCCGTGTCCTGCCCCCCTTCCTCCCCGTCCAAGGCTTCTCCGGCCAACGAAGACGCTCCTACTGCCGCGGCTACCACCCCGACCTTCCCGCCCGCCCCCGTGCTCGTCGGTTGCGGCGGGACAGCCTCGCCGCCGCTGCCGCCGCCACTTGCCTCTGAGGGTGGCGAACCCGTCTCCTCCTCCTCTTGGCGCCTTGGGTGGTCATGGCCACCACTACGCGGGGCAGGTTGCGGTCGTGGCGATTCCGACGGCACCACTTCCGAAACCGCTGCTGCCTCTCCCGCCGCAGGGTGTGGTCGCGCGCTCCCTGCTGTTCTCGAGGTGGCTGCGGCTAATAGAGCTTCGTCGGACGGGGTCCCAGGCGGCCGCGGCGGCGGGACCGGTGACGGTTCGCCTGGTGTTGTTGTCGTCGTGCTGCTAGGATTCTTCTTCGCGGCGACGGCTGCTTCCGGCCTGTCGTTGGTCGCCACCGGAAGTTCATGAAAACGCAGCAGCAGGCTATTGACGCCAAACTTTCATTTTGTGCTTGTATGCATACAGGCGCTCTGAATACTAACTTCACGGTTTGCAGAGGCCGATTGATCAACTGCTGCTGTGAATCCGTGAAGAAACGAGCTTTCGCTTCTCTCACGGCGCTAAGGGGACAAAATAAAAGTGTGGCGCACGCCATATACGGTGGCCGGCCGGGTGGCCCAAGGCTTCGAGCCGGCGAGGTGGCGTACCACCGCCGCTTGGTGTATACCAATATACAGCAGAGGCGGTGGCTTGTGCGGACAAATCATGCACGACGGCGGCGGTGCGTGATGAGTTGACATCTGTCTGCGGGCAAGGGGGGGAGACGGGCATGACCACTACTATCTGAATCGAACGACGGACGGGCTGATCGCGAAAAGCTCCCCTCACAAAGCCCAGAGAGCAAACCGCCGATGTTGCGTACCGCGTCGCGATGGGACGAAAAGACCTGCTGAAAACCCTGCCATGCACTGCGAGGCTCTTTTGTTGCGAAGCTCTCGAGACATCACTTATCAGCCGTCCTATGTACATACATCACGGTAAATCATACTAAACCGTCTTTCTATGAATACTCGCGAATAAAAGTACAACGTGGTGGTGTGGCATCTTTGTCGCTCTCTCTCTCTTTCTCATGTATCATGGGTGTGCACACAAGACTGACGTATGGACCCCGCCCAGCATCTTGCACGCGTACGATGATGATGCCTGCAGCAACCGCAGCAACCCCCGCTGATTTGGAACAATGTTGCTTGCAAACCACGTCGTCGGAACCACCCTGGATCATATCATACACACGCAGGACAAATCGCTTTGCCATTGCTGCTACAGCCCTACCACCAACACAAAAAGCTTGCATCTGCTTGAGGAGGCGAAAACCCCGGTAGTTCCTCACGTGAGATTGCTCTTGTAGCGCGCCTCCGTCTGGCGAGAGGAGTTGAGATGCTTGGCCTCCTTCTTCGCCCAGATGCCGAGGTTGCTCAGGTACTGCGTCCGATGGTAGTGTGGGCTCCTGACCTTGTTCAGGTGCATGGCCCCGCGGGGTATTGGGGTGTTGACCGCTGTCAGCTTGTTGAGGTCAGCCCTGGTAGAGTCGCCCTGTAGCTGGACGTCCTCCCCGCCCTCATGATTATCAGCTTCCACCTCTTCGTCCCCCTCGTCATGCTGCTGCTGGTCCGCCCTCCGTCTCCTCCGCTGCGGCTGCTGCTGCTGCTGCTGCTGCTCAAAACTCAAATCAACGTTCCTTGCGACTGCTGAGGGGGGCGTGGCCTCCCGGTTCATGTTCTTCTGACCAGTCAGATGGTTAGCGCCGTACTTGTGGCTGAAAGGGGATACGATACAACACCCCGGGCACGTACTGCTGTAAGTGTGAAACGATGCAGCGCAGTAACAAACTGCGCAACACGGGCAGCGTGGTGGAGAAAGAGCGACGACCCTGCTGTGGTACGCTACCTTAATTGGTTGGACGTCACCGGAGCCCCCGTTGGTGATATGACTCTTTATAATACGTCATAAAGAGCCACCTATATATAGTATAAAGAGTCATATTCTTTGAGCCAGTGAGCTGTGTGTGCTCAGGCGTGCAGTGCTGACATTAGCCAGTAAACTGATGTGAAATCGTCTCCCGTCTTTTGAGTAAGCATTTAGTCAGACAATAATTTTGACTGTCAAGACGGCAGTAGTGGGGCGCTTCGCAACAATTGCCGGCGGAATAATACACTACGCTAGTTGCACTACTACTCCTACAGCAGTTCAGGCATTATTATTCTTGTTCGTCTACTTACTGCTGTGCTGTAAAGAGTAAGACGTTGATTGTGGAAGAACAAATTAACTAGCTAGTGGGTAGTCCGTTGTCGTATCCTCCTGGTATATACCTGAAACCTGCTTGTAGTGCATTTTTCGCTGCGACGCGGATATTATACCTTCTTCGGTCACAGCAAGGCTGACCACCCACAGCAGTAGTAGACAGACTCTCACTCCAAAAAAAAAACACGAACGAACGCGAAAGTGAGCATATAGAAACAATTGTGAGCAATGTTTTTGCTGCTGTACTGTATGTAGTAGTAGTGATGACCCCAACACCCCGAGGAGGTATCATCGGTGTATTCACGAATGAATGATGAATGGATACCAGAGCAATCACAGACTGGGTTGAATTTCCCGCACACGCACGTGCATACCTTCAAATAAATGTGTGTAGGGGGCTGAGAAAATGCCCAGCACAGCGCCGGCGATATATATATATTGCGCGCATTGCCAAAGATAATCTATCTATCTAGTCGTCGGGGCCCGCTACAAGTGAATACATACTAAATAATAGGGGGATTGAAGGGCCCCTCCGCCCCCAGTGGGCGCCGGGGCCCGAATCGCAAACTGAAGGTGGCGCGTTCTGTATTTCGCACGGTTCAGCCACGGGACGATGAACGAACATGAGGAAGAGAGAGCAATAAAAATTAGTCCCGCGATCGCGATGGCAAATGAAAATATAATCAAATGTACCAGTACAGACACCGCACATCGCGGCCGCAGATTGCTTGCAGGGTGCGATTCGGGCCACCCTGGCAGGGTGGACGCTGTCCAGGGTGTTCAGCATAGACCTTGCAGCCGGTTCACCTTTCTGCCGTTCACAGGGTGGGGTACCCTGGCAGGGTGGATTTTTGGCCACCCTCTGGCAGGGTGGCCAAATGGCTACATGCCGGTGGGTGCGGTGTGTCGCCTGTACGGGTTGGGTGTACTTCCAAAAGTTGATGGCCGTTGTTGTGATTGTTGAGCATATCACACGCTAGCGCTTACATTTCCTTCGCGAACTTAGGCCATGACTTGCAATGACATACCGATGGGAGGTCGGAAGACTGCTGTACATCAGTGGGATGCTGTGTTTTTCGTGTGCCAACCGCATACAGCAGTAACTTCGTATTGTACACGGATACAGCGGCTTCAAAAATGTAAATAAAATCACTGAAGAAATGTGTAGAAAAAATTCTTCACTATTTTCTAGTAGTGCATTCTGCCGTGACATTTCTACAAATAATATACTTACCTTGATAGAATGACGGTAAGACGACTTGCTTGTCTGGGATAAATATACAGCCAAATGATCATTTGCTCAATCCTCACTCCTGATTTTGATCAGCGAGGAGACCAACATGCAATACAAGGTGTCTAGTGCGTCTTCTGTACGCCGAAAATCAAATCCTCAGCATCCATCCTATCTCTACACTATTTGGGACCCCCGCATTGTTGCAAACCCCCTCAAGGTGTGATACGCCACAACCATTACTTGTGAGAGTTTTTATTTTGCCGTTCGTACACATGTACCAGGCGGGCCAATTGTAACTCAAGACTACACCTTTCATGTAGATTTTTTCTCATCGACGGATGTGCGTCGAATGGAATCAACCATCTTACACTCGTACTAATTATACTGCAAGACGCTCCTAACACTAACACTTCCTGCACTCGGAATGAATGAAAGCGATAGGCGCACAACAACGAAACCATATGAGTATCATACAAAGACAAAGACATAGAAACATGGGTCGTACGAAATCAGCCACGGGCCCATCATGCATGCACGCAAAATTGAAAAAAAACAAGACATAAACGAACGCAAAAACTTACACCCCCCGACTTGCTGTGGGTAGAGATAAGACCACTCGAGCGAGTGGTGTACAATCGATCACCTTCACGCAGCGAGCAGTCTACACAACGCTGTCAAAGGCAGGCAGCAGCCGGGCGGTCGCGTCCGGACTCAACCGCACCATATGCACTCGAGTGGACCTACTTGCGTCGAGCTGCTCATGCTCCAACATATCAACAAAGAGGCAACACCAAACAATAGGACAAAAAAACAAGCACCACAAGGAAGGTGGGCCTCAAGCAGCTGAGATGACCCCCGCAAAATCTCCCCACCACGGACAGGAGAAAGTTCCTGAAACGCAGCATAATACAGCCAGACCGCGGCCTCGCAGAGCGTGAACGATCACACACCAACCAGCAGGAGTACTCCATACCATGCTATGAAAGCGACTCGTTGAGTAGCTCTCGAGCTGGTCCCCCACGTCTCCCCCCGTTCCCTCTCCACTCTCACCTACACATAATCGCAGACAACGGGCACAAATATCGACCACCACACAACAAGACGACACGAGTCACTTCTTCTGCGCACCCATCAACACCGAATTCGGCGGTGTCTGTTTTAACCCAAGTTTTTCTCGACGACACCACTTCTGGTTTTCAAGTCTCGCTCTACGCATATCGCCAAGAAGAACTTTCCAAGAACCTTCCCCCCCACCAACAAACGAACAAGACGCTCGGGGTGGGGTTCGAACGCATCCGAGGCAGAAGAGAAAATCGAAAGGGGGGCAAGGGGGGGTACAGTAGAGGGGAAGATTGGTCGGGTGTGCGATGGTTTTCAGCATCGCACACACCACATCTCCCTTTCTTACCCTCCAGTACCGCACCGACCAGAGCAGACAACGTAATTATCCTTCCGACCGAATCGGGCCGCTTCAGTCTCTTTTTTCCGCGTTCTGGTCAAGGGCCTGGGCGGGGCACCCTCCTCCTCCCCCGCAACCAAGCCTAGGCCCTCCTCAAGCCCCGTACCCCCACTCCCCGACCCCCTCGCCACGTCACCTCTCCCGTTTATCCGACTCATCACTCATCACCCCCTTTCCCTTCACGGCCGACGAGTCTTCGCCGCCGCCGCCGCCATCGTCGCCGCCGCTGCTGCCGCCGCCCCGTGTCCTCGTTCACCCCGAGATTACCCTTCCCTTCAAGCGAGCCCGTTCCGGGCGCAGCGCTCACGCGAGGGGGTCTTCCACCACCGCTGTGTCTTGCTGCTGCCGCCGGCGACTC